ATGTGGTTTATCCCATTCAACCCTTTGCTTCGTTATGTGATTTCCCATCTCATGCACAATCTTTCTTGAGTTCTATTACACAGGAATCTGAGCCGAAATCATATGAAGAGGCCAAGGTCTCTCCGATGTGGATACAAGCCATGCAAGAAGAAGTTGATGCGCTCGAACGGAATAACACTTGGACTCTCACATCGTTACCTCCCGAAAAGAAGGCTATCGACTCAAAATGGGTGTATAAAATTAAATATAAGAGCAACGGTGAGATCGAACGTTACAAAGCACGTCTCGTGGCTAAGGGTTTCACTCAAAAATACGGGGAAGATTATACCGATACCTTTGCTCCGGTTGCTAAAATTCCGTCTCTACGTGTCATACTTTCTCTTGCTACTAATTTTTGTTGGCCTTTGTTTCAGCTAGATGTCAAGAATGCGTTTCTTCAGGGTGATCTCGATGAAGAAATATTTTTGGAACCACCACCGGGATATACGGATGACACTCGTGTTTGTCGCCTCAACAAGGCCATTTATGGGTTAAAACAATCCCCCCGTGCGTGGTACCGCAAATTACATGACGCACTTATCGATCGCGGTTTTGCCCGTAGTCACTCGGATCACTCTTTATTTGTTCGCAACACAAACACGGGTAACATCGTTCTCTTGGTTTACGTTGACGATATTATTCTTACGGGAAGTGATTCCAATGGTATTTTTGATACAAAAATTTATTTACAACAAGTCTTTGATATTAAAGACCTCGGGCTCCTTCAATACTTTCTTGGACTCGAGGTTACTCGAGATTCGCATGATCTTTTTCTGTCACAACGCAAGTATGTCCTTGATTTACTCAATGAGACAGGAAAACTAGGAGCCAAACCCGTTCGCACACCCATTGAGGAGCATTTCAAGGATCAACGCGAGGGGGAATTACTTGATAATCCGGAGCAATATCGACGCGTTGTAGGTAAGCTCATATATCTCACAATTACACGACCTGACTTAAGCTTTGCCGTGCACCAGGTTAGCCAATGGATGCATGCACCAACCACAACTCATTGGCAAATGGTGGATCGAATACTAAAGTACTTGAAAGGGACACCGAACAAAGGCTTGTGGATGAGGAACAACAACCATTCGGAGATCATTGGATATTGCGATGCAGACTGGGCAGGAAATAGGACGGATCGAAAATCTACCACCGGATATTGCACATTCGTCGGAGGGAATCTAGTTACGTGGAAAAGCAAGAAGCAAACCGTGGTGGCAAGGTCAAGCGCGGAAGCCGAGTACCGAGCTATGGCGAACACCACAAGCGAGATCATTTGGTTGAAGCAACTTTTGAAGGAACTTGGAATAGATGTACCAACGCCTATTCCACTCTATTGTGACAATCAAGCTGCACTTCATATCGCAGCCAACTCCGTATTCCACGAGAGGACGAAGCACATCGAAGTTGACTGTCATTTTATTAGGGAAAAGATCACCGATGGAACTTTATCGCCGATGTATACTCAGAGTCACGATCAACTCGCCGACATCTTCACCAAGGCGACTAGCTCGTTCGTGCTCAACAAAATACTCGTCAAGATTGGTCTTACCGAATATCGCCGACCAATCTTGAGGAGGAATGTTGAAGACGAACAAACCGAGATACACGTTCGAGATCAGCAAACCGAAAGCAACGTCCAAGAAGAAGACCAACCGTGTAAAGTTTCTGGAGCAGCAAGAGGGTTTGAAGATATCGACGGAGATCCTCTCGACACATCAGGGCGTGATTGACTTTTATGTAAATGACAAACTTCCTTTTCTTGTAATTAGGAAATATTCTTACAACGTACTTACCTTACTTGTAGCCTAAGAATAGCTATATGTTGTACCCTATTCCATGTACAGATTATCAGACAAAGGAGAATAATATTTTTGAGTCGTTCATCTTCTTCCTCTGTCCATCCCTTCGTCTGTTCATCTTTTGCTTTTTGATAAAACTCTTTAGTCCGAACATCATTAAATATCTTCGAAATCCGGTCCATGCATTATCCAATCACTATGTGCGTGTCTGTACATATATGCACAAGCATATAGACATATAGATGTACAATTTCTAGTCTATATACGAGGTAATGTTGCCGATTTATGCACCCCCATTTGCATAACCTATATATGAAAATCAATTTTGGAATGTATTGAGAAATGAAAACAATTTTAGTTTTGGCAATTTTCGGAATTTTGGGATTATTATTGGTTGAAAATGAATAAACCAAATAATCATTGTTTTTGTGTATTATAAATATTGTTACCTTCAACCACTGAATTCTTCTAAAAAAGGAGATTCATATTTTTTTTTCCACATATTCTATATTATACACTCTTTTATTAGTTTTTTTATATTTATTAATAAATTATTTTGTGTTCTAATTTTGAGTTACAGGTAGTTAATTTTCTATTTATTTTTATAATTAGAGGATTAGCTGACGGAAATATTAGGATGAGTGAATATATATGTAAAAAATCAAAGCCTGGACATCATATGTTTTAATTTGTTTTATATCTATTAGCTTTGAATGGGTAATTTTTTTTAGTCAACGGTAAATATTATAATTATGAATTGGAAAATGCCATACTTAAAAAGGTGAAAAGATAGCGCACTTATGATGTAATGAAAATATTTTTTTTTATTGCTAGTAATGTACTTTGATATCTTGCTAATGGTGTTCATAAGATGATTAAATCATTAATTAGGGGATGAATACTGATTAATGATAGCATAGTAATGCCTTAATTTTTCTTCCACTAGTGTTCAGTCCGAAAATGTGGTTCCTCGTCCAACTCTTACAGTACAATTATATGAATTATTTAAATAAATCTTTTCTTCATGATGATTGAAATTATATATATTTTAACAAAATTATTTTGACTCCAACATCAAAATTATTCAAATATATTTTAACAAACTTACCTTTCCCCGTTCTGGTAAAACGTCAAGATCGACTTGTTGAAAAAAGAAATATATGAAATAATATTAATCAAGAATTATATGAACAAAGAATAAGGTGCAGATTGGATTGAATATACGTAAAAGGCAACATAATATAATCATGATCTTGAGTCTCTTATATGAGTATTATAAATTTCAATGGCGGGATAGGGAGAATATAATATATGCTCAAGATCTTGCACTCCCATGAACAGACACACACTATTCACATTTCACAACTTGTCCCTTGTCTCTAGCTCCTCTCTCCTCTCTCTCTCCTCTCTCTCTCTCTCTCTCTCTCTCTCTCTCTCTCTCTCTCGCTTTTCAAGTTCGTCCAGTAACCTTACAATTCACATCGATGAAAGAAAAACAACTGGTTAATGAGTTATGAGATTTCACGTATGATTTAACGATGCATGTGGTGCGGTTTTGCAGTGTAAATGAGTGACCCAAAGCATATGCTAAGGTGAGGTATCACCACTAATACATGTTTTTGTATATTGATTGGATCATTAAATATTGTGTGTGTGAGAATGTTATATTGAAATGAAACCAGATGAGATAAAGGAGTTGGTCAAAACCAATATATGAAGGGGACACAATGATGCAAAATGTGATTTGAAGAGGATAAGACCAAAACAAAAACAATATATATATATATATATATATAGGGTGGGTGGCTAGGGAGGCATTTTGCTCTAGCCCTACACAAAAGCAAACACACAAATACAAAAAAAAAAACCCAAAAAAAAGTTGTTATGATATTAGAATAATATATATATATATATATACACACACACACATACAAAGGCAATCATATAACCCCCACATGGCTTTTAGTGCCGATATATAAACACTAAAAAATAAAATGTTGTTATGTTTCTTTATTCTTATGTGAATTAATTATTACAACATGACGAGAAGGGTGCGTATATAAGAGACTCAAGGAGCAAAAGGGTCGGAATTGAAACGTTGAACCAAATCCATACCCAAAGGCCGTGAATAAGAGAATAACCCCTCGATTTTTTCTTAATATTTTAATTCTGAATCTCAGAAATATGTTGTATGTTTTCTTGTTGCTTTCCTCAGCATCCATTATACATGCAGGAAGCTTCGCGTATATTATTTTTGGATATTGGTTGACTTATAAAGTGATCTCTTACAACTTCCCATTACATATTTAATGTTTTATAAATATTATATTAACTATAATGATTATTATTAATTATTATATTGTAATTAGAGATACAGATTGTAAAATATTTCTGCCGAACCAATTGAATCGCTGGACCGTACGGAATACACATATGTGAATATGAACTACATCATTATAATGAGAGTTGGGCCAAAAATAGGTGGGGGTTATAATAATAACGGATACATGTTTCTAGCGTTAAAAAAAAAAGTACGTACGTACACGCATCCATGCAAAATTGTTGGAGAATATCATAAGATGCAGTGTATGTATACTCGTTGACTATGATGCCAAGTCTTTTAGGGCAAGAATTTGTTTTCCGACCAATTCATGGCTCAGTTTTATCGTACAAGAGAATTTCTAGGGTTTTTTTATTTAAAATATAACCTCTAGTTTTTAATTTTTAGAAAGCATTGTATAGATAATGTTGTCGCTATATATAATACATAAAAAAAATATTTGGGTTTGAGGAATTTGTATTAAAGACCATCAAATCACTTATGATTACAATGCAAAAACAATATAGGACGACGTGAAATTCTTCGTAATCGGGCTCCAATTATGCATGGGCTTTCTTCCGTTTCGATTTTCTTCAATAAGTTTGGGGGGGAAGACGTTGTCGGTGGATTTTTCTATGCCGTTGATTCTGACACGTGTAATGGACGTGGCTCGATCGTCAGATATATTACTGGCTGAAAATGAGCCCAAAAATTAAAATAATCGCCGTTGCCGGGGATCGAACCCGGGTCACCCGCGTGACAGGCGGGAATACTTACCACTATACTACAACGACTTCGATGATTAAGCGAAGGAAATCAAAATTTAATCCTATAAACTTCCAAATAAACAACACCAGCATTATGTAATGACGCAGAAAAATACAGCTACCGTTCACTTCAATTTCTAAATTATAAAAAAAAACCTTTGAGGTCTATAAAACCCAAAAAAAAAAAAAAAAAAAGAGGAAAAGAAAAAAAGCAAGAAGACAGAACCTTTGTCAGGAGTTATTACTAAGGAGAGTGTGATGAGAGGAGGCGTATTTTTTTTCTTTTGGTGGGGACTTTTAAAACGGGGGGTCTGGTCGGAGAGAAGAGTAAGCAGCAGCCGACAAGATGAGCACGAGAATGGCCAAGACGATGCGCTTGAACCCAAGAGCTCCTGCATCTAATCTTCTCACACTGCTTGCGTCTGACCCTCTCATCCTCTCTCCCTGTTTCATCATTTGGTTCAATCACACGAAAAAAAAGTATAAACAGACCGAGAAATCCTTGAAAGAAACGAGCGCCCCAATCTTTCGGAATATATACGAATACTTGAAACCCACTATGCATATACCTCTGAACTGGTAGCTGATGTGACCGTATCTCGTGATCTGCTTCCTCTGTCGTGAGACACTGCAGAACTCTGGTCAGGTTTTTGTGGGAAACCATCCCTTTTACCGGCCTGTCTCAAATTCGCCACCAGCACACTATTCTCTACTGACAATGTAGATATCTGCAAACGACGGTAAATAACCTAAGAATGACAGGAAACCCGAAAGCACAACGCGTCCTAATTATCGATCAGGATTCAAGAAACAGGAATGTTCTTATACCTGCCGATGAATCCGTTCTCGTTCGACGGCCAGCTGCATGACCAAGTTTCTCATTATCTTGTTACGAACACCGATATCTTTAGCAGTTTGCGTTTTTACTTCTTCCGCCTGGTGTAAAGACTGCTCTAGTTCTTTCAATCTGCCTCTCAAAAATTTTACTTCCTCATTGAGCTCTGTGTTATAATCGGAAACTACGATCAGCTTATCTTTCGCACTGTCAGCCCGGTTTTCCGCCCTCAGAACTTTCAATTTCAGGTCCTCTATTACATTCCCCATATCAGACACAGTAGCAATCAACAAGTTCTGCTTCTCTTGACTTGCTTCAACAGCTGCCATTGCATGTTCTAGCTGAATATCCGAATCTCTTAACCGTTTCTCTACTGATTCCAGCTTCTCCACAGTCAAACCCTTAGCTTTGAAAAGCTCCAACTCGTCACTAAGCTCCTTATCACTTTCATTTAGCTGTTTAGACTTGGATTCAGCATCCACAATTCTGGCTTCAGCTTTGGTTAGTTTTTCTTTCAGTTCCTCGACGTTACATTCCAGATCCCTTCTATCCTGCTGTTGACTTCCACAAACGGAATCTTTTGCTTGGAGCTCATATTCTTTCAGCTGTTCCTCTAGAGAGCTGATTGTTTCCCGTAACGTCATATTCTCGGATTCAAACAGAACCAGTTTGTCCTCAGCTTCTCTCAAACTTTCCTTTAACCCTTCTGCTTGTGCCATGAGGAAGTCATGGACTCTCGTGTTGCTGCTATCAAGCTTTTGCAGGACACTTTCTTTCGCTTCCAGCCGTTCCTTTGAATCCATTAGCTCAGATTTCAAGTTGTCTTCCCGCTTAAAAGAGCCGCTTAGATTGAACTGAAGAATCTGCAGTTTTCCAGATAGCTCTTTTGAAGTTCCCTTAAAGACTTCGGCAGCATTATCTGCCTCAAACCACCTCAAATAAGCCTCTTGGGCTTCTTCTTCCATGTAGAAAACATCCTGCTCAGAAGAGTATAGCTTCATTCTCAGTTCTTTTTCTGTTTGTCTTGATTCAGTTAATTTCTTCTCGAGTTCCATCTCTTTGGCCAGAGATTTCTCCAGCATCCTCAAAAAGTTTCTTTGCTGGTCAGCAGTCTGCATCTTAATCTTAAAGCTCATATCACCAAACTCGCCGTCATGTTGAAATTCTCCGGCTTGACCTCCAGCCCCTGGCAAGACAAACTAACATATTCAGAAATGACATCTAAACGTAATCTACCAGACATATTTATTAAGACATACTCGTAAAACAAAGCCAGTTTTTCCTTTAAAGCATGAGGGCCGCCTTAAACTGGTCACCAAACCATAACAAGGTAAATGGAGTTTCATTGGTTCAATTAGGTTTCTCACTTACAAGCTCCAACTCCGTTCATACCAGACGATATCCTCTGAAAATTAGCAGATTGTATCTTCATTTCCAAAACTTGATTCAATGACTCGCGTGAAGCTTGTTCAGCATCACGCAACTTCTCCAACATCTCCGAGAAGGCTTCCTCCACGTCTTGAAATGGAGATATCATGTCACTAGCACCTTGGATTTCTGTCTGGAGATGCTTGATAAGGTTTTCAAGCTCGTTCACCTCTGAATCACAGATTGCCGACAAGAGATCAAACTCCATAGCCTTCTCAGCAGAATCAATTCCCGAGGGTACCTTCTCAGAAGCGAATGATTCGAAGTCGCTTTCCCTCGCGCCCAAGTGCATCGTGAGAACACTTAGATTCACCAACTTCTCTGAACAGCACGCTAAATCCAATTCCACCCTCGTCAGAATTCTGCCCGCCCTGAACAATTCTTGGTTCATCACTTCTTCGAGATGGCTAGTTTTAGTTGAGCTGAGCTCAGGAACAAGGCTTCCGACATCGTCATCGACGGAAACCGTTCTTTCGTGTGTGATATCCATTTCCTATCTTATAAACTCCTAATGGCTACTTATCCAGGTCCAAGTAGGTAAGGGAGGGAAGAAACCCCACATGAAAATAAACTGCAAAAGACAGGAACAGATACATCATTCTATCAGACAATGAATGATATAGATCAACGGCAAAGAAGTATAACAATTCGATTAATCGTGTATAGAATTTGATTGTTTGATCTTCAAAGACGATCCATAAAATCCCATTTTTAAGCTAAATCACAAGGAGAAGATTTCTTCCACTTATTAACTAATACAACAATGAACCCTTGCACATCTCCCATATTTCTTAGTTCAAAAAAAAAAAAATTACCACGACATATAAGAACAATGATTATATTCTCAAAATGCTTTTCTGATCTGCATTTCCTCCGTCATCACCTAACTCACCCCGATCATAAATTCACATGAATCATGGAAAAAAAAAATCTCTAATCGATATTCGTTCTCAAGCTTCTTACAGAAAAAGGCATCATGCTACGATTAGTAAGACGAAATCAAAGATACGCAACGTGGGTTTCGTCGAAACGTAAAACGAACAAATCATTAGACTCAAACCTCGGAAAACTGACCCCTCGCGTCATTTTCCATCGCTTTCCCAGTCAAAAGCCCAAACGGAAAACAGTCGACAAACACACACACACACACGACATGAAAAACGAAGCATAGAAACTAATCAGTGACATACCTTCACCGACTTCTCTGAGGGATTCCAATGAAGAAGAAAACCATGGAAGGAAGGAGAATTTGCCTTTTTTGATCTGATGGACACCTGGAAATGTCGCAACGCAAGCGAACGAAATAGGTGCAAAACAAAACTGTAAAATTAAATTCCTATCGGGTCGGGTCGGGTCAGGTCGAAATTTCAATTTACCGAGTTGGTTAATTGGATGATGATGGGCTGAGATCTTGTGAACATGGGCCTTAATGGCCCAAATATATGGATATCGGCCTTAGGTTTCCCCGAGCTGGGTTAATTTATTTTTTTTCCCAATTATACAAAATTTACAAATATAAAAATTCGAAATTTATTCTTTTGGATGCATATTGTTTTAATATATATATATCAATGAATCTCTATACACACACAATTTTACTGCCTTGTCTTTATCCCTACATCCAAAGCATATAATAATTCATATTTATCAATCAATCATCATGATTATATATATATAGAGAGTGTGAGAGTGAGAGATGAAACATTTAGAGCCACGAATTCAGAAGATTGATTATCATAATTTAAATGATTAATCATCGGTGGCATCTAAACTATTTAAAAATTAGTAATGGGGACGTCTAATATAGATTCCTTGAGTATTCTATGCTTCTTCTTTTTTTTTTAATTAGCGATATTAATTTAAAAAAAATTATAATGTTTTAAAAATTGTTAAGAAAAGAATCTTCTGATGTTTCGGAAATAGTTTAAAATTGAGGTCAATATATTAATTCTTTCTATTAATTTTTGGAGAAAATATTAGATAGATATATACATACCAAATACAAATTGTGTAACACCTATTGACATAGAATTTTATATATTATATAAATAAAATCATAACCAAATTGTCCTTTATTGAAATGACACGTCGGTACGGTGGGTCTAATCAGACGCCACTCGTATTTCTTTGAGAATGTGATGACGAATTTTCCTTTAATTTATTTTAAATCCCTCAACAATCACCTAATTTTAATAAACATAGAAATTTCTTAACGTGTTCTTAGAAATAATAAATTGTAAATTGATTTGCATCCACATCTTGTCTTGGCTTTACAGTTGCAATTCATATATTGTTGACAAAAATTATTATTGGTAATTTGTCCATCTCCAATTACTAAAAAAGCTAAAAACTACTCAATTTTGTTGATATCTTCAAATTTTTTTTGGTAAACAATATCTTCAATTTAATATCAAAACTCATAAACTCTTATCTTAACATCAATAACTGTAATTCATTTTAATATCTATTGATCATAAAATAACATATATATATATATATATGTGTGGTTTAATTAATTATAACGAATCAAATTATTTTAATAAATTTTAAGATACTAAAATATAAAATTTTAAAAATACACCATTGGATGCTCAATTTGAATTGATTTGTTACTGTTGTAGATTTTTTTATAAAAATTTATTGACAATAATGCATCAACAGGATATCTGTTTTTATTGCTGCAGTTGGCAATTGGCAGACGCCACACCTTTTCTTGTTCGGACTCCAAATCGTGAGGCCCTGATTCGTCTCACAGCTTTCATTTTGTGAACCTAACATCGCCCTCCCGCTCGTATCCGAAACCGAAATCGAAATCGAAATCGAAATCGTGAAGAGTCTCCCTTCTATCTTTGGTGCATAGCTAAATTCTAGGGTTTATATCCGTCTGACAAATCCCCCTTGTGTGGATCCCGTGTTTTCTTTCTGTTTCTGGGTGCAATCTATTAGATGAAAATCCAGGGAAAGATCATCTGGGTTTAAGAAAATTTTCCATCTTACGTACTGGGTCTGTGTCAAATTGAAGCCTCTCTGATCTTCGTCCTGTATATACTTCTGCAAGAAAAGGTCAGTCGATTCAAAGCTCAATATCTGTACTTTTTTTTATCGAAATTTCTCTGATTCTGCTTGATGCTGAGACAAGATCTTCGAATCTCATAGAATCTTAATCTCCATTATTCAAGTCAAGTCTATCAAATTATTTTAATATTTGCTGATTCATACCTGCATTTCGTGTTCAATGATTGGAGGAGGAATCCGTCTTTGCATGGCAACTAATTTTTCATATTTTTAATATTCAGCTTGCGTCTTGCATCACTCGCCTATTCGTTGAAATCATCAAACACCGTCTCGGAGAAATTCTCGGGTCATTACAAGATGACGATCGTAGATGTTCCGAAGAGGTGCAGCTCCTCCGATGATGCTACCGCTCCGTTGTTACCGAAATCCAGAGACGACGAAGGTAGTTTCGATGAATTCAATGGAGCATCGTTCAGTGGTGCAGTTTTCAATCTCTCCACGACCATCATCGGTGCCGGTATCATGGCTTTGCCAGCCACGATGAAGATCCTCGGCCTTGTTCTTGGTATTGCAATGATCGTTTTTATGGCCTTCTTGACCGATGCATCCATCGAGTTCTTGCTTAGGTTCAGTAAGGCCGGGAAGAAACGATCTTACGGCGGTTTAATGGGCGATTCTTTTGGAAAGTGTGGAAGGGTTTTGTTGCAAGTCGCTGTTCTAGTCAACAACATCGGGGTGTTGATCGTTTACATGATCATCATTGGTATGATCTTCTTCTCGTGCTTGTTCTGTACAGAAATGTCCATTTCTTGGTATTTCTCTGTAGATAGTTTGCGTTGGGATTATCAATGTGAGGATAGGGCATTGAGCTTGTATATATTTGTGAAAAAACATAACTTTTTCTTTTGGTTGTTTTTCTTTGAAGGCGATGTGCTTGCCGGGAAGACATCTGATGGAATCCACCATGCCGGTGTTCTTGAAGGATGGTTCGGGGACCGTTGGTGGAACAGCAGAACTTCTGTGCTTGTCATTACAACAATTTTAGTATTCGCTCCATTGGCATGTTTCAAACGGATTGGTTAGTATTTTGTTTCTCCATGTATATATTATGCCGTGAATGTGTAAACTGGACTATGATTCTTGTTTATAGCAATGGCTCTCGATCTTTGTTTAGTAGATAGAACCAACAGTATCTCCAAACATATATTTCAGACAAACCCGGTACCATGCACATACTCTTTAAAGTAGAAACATGACCTGGATTGCTGAAACGTGAATGACCGGTATACATGGTTCATACTCCATGCATTTGTATTCTAATCGAGAATCTGACATGTTCGCGTTATAATTATGCTTGGTTTGCAGATTCTTTGAGATTTACATCGGCCTTGTCAGTTGCTCTGGCAGTTGTTTTTCTCGTCATAACAGCAGGAACGATTGTTTGGTTTAGATAATAACTGGCTTTTATATTGTCCTCTTGTCTCTTTTTCTTTTGTCGCCTGATAATAATATATAAAATAATTTAAAACGACAATGATTGGAATTTTTAAGGGAAAAAACATAATAGTAATTAATGATGCGGACAATCATTCAACAATGACAAATGATGTGATGCTAAATACTAAACAATAAAAGGTTAAAGGGGTTGGCTAATAATTTCATAGTTTAATTAATTAATGATTGTTCTATGTGTAATATAGAAAGTAGAAATGTCTTTTTAATTAAAAAAAAAAGTACTACAATTGTTGCCGAAATGAATTAACACCTCGTTTTATTATATTAGATTTTGTGAACTTTAGATGAGATAGAACTTTTCATATTTCAATTCTTTTATTGTTTTTCATCAAAATTTCTTTTTAAAGAAGTTCAATTATTGGATTCAATTTATTGATTTTCTTCATCTAAACCAGCTAATTAAAATATTTATACCTTCTCACCTTTTCAATTAAATTATTTTTATTTCCCATATGGCATTGAATCTTGCATATGAAACAATGTGCTTCCTTGAATAACAATTTTACATATTTCTAGAAAACTTAAACGTTACCCTTCGGAAGCAGGAATAGCTGTCATGAAATTGATCAGTGGTGGTGTCATGATGCCGAGGTTGCTGCCAGATGTCACCGACTTAGCTTCGTTCTGGAATCTCTTCACTGTTGTACCCGTTCTTGTCACTGCATATATTTGCCATTATAACGGTATGGGAACTGTTGTTTGTTTAACTAATTGCTTTCATGTAGCATTATGTGAAAGAAGAAGCCTTAGCTTTTTGACTAAAGAAAGAATGTTAAATACTAATTGAGACAGTCAATTAAGGTATAACCTAAGGTCCTAAACCTGACGCTTTTGGGTTATTATATTTGACGTTTGGAGATTCTGCATGATCCTCAGACATTGAATGTGTCATGTTTTGACTGAATTAGCAAATTCTGCATGATCCTAATAGATTGAATGTGTCAATTGTTTTGACTAAAACAAAAACTTGGAAAGTTTTGATCCCAAATTTCTTTATCTACTTTTTTTGCAGTTCACAGCATACAGAACGAGCTTGAAGACTCGTCTCGGATAAGACCCGTGGTCCGATCAGCCCTTACGCTATGCTCTTCCGTTTACATAATGACTAGCCTTTTCGGGTTCCTCTTATTTGGTGACGACACTCTCGACGATGTCCTTGCCAACTTCGACACCGATCTCGGGATCCCCTTTGGTTCTGTCCTGAACGATGCTGTCCGAGTCAGCTATGCAGCTCATCTCATGCTCGTGTTCCCGATCGTCTTTTACCCTTTGCGGCTGAACATTGATGGGCTCGTTTTCCCGAGTGCGCCTTCGTTATCTTCCTCCAATGTCAGGTTTGGTTGCATCACCGCAAGTCTCATCACTGTAATCTTCTTGGGGGCAAACTTCATCCCCAGCATATGGGATGCCTTCCAATTCACCGGAGCTACTGCTGCTGTCTGTCTCGGTTTCATATTCCCTGCCGCAGTTACTCTGAAGTAAGTCCCTGCCGCTTATTCTTTATCGGAAATCTGCTTATAATATCCGAGTAGCTTTTAGATGTTTTTATCCTCCGGGGAAGAGGGCTTAATCGATTTGGATCGGAATAATCGAACGTAAAGTCAAAGTAGAAGGTCATTTATAGGAGAATGAAGACAATAAAAAATATGCCCTTGTTCATGAGCATCTAGACAGTGGTAAATTTAGCTACCACTGTCTGAAAATTTCAGCATCTGAACGTTTATAAACCGCGCTTTTATGCTCTTTTAACCGATATTCGGACTCTGTTATGTTCCTACAGGGACCGTCACAACAGAGCGACGAGGAGGGACAAGATCCTAGCCTTGTTCATGGTCGTCATCGCAGTGTTGTCCAACTCCATCGCCATTTACAGCGACGCATATGCTTTGATAAAGAAGAACGGTTCTTCGCCTCGAGAATGATCGATCGTTTCGACTGAGGTTTTCGATCTTTTATCGGGACGAGGAAGGAATTCCGGTTATGGGTGTTGATGGAAATGTGGAAAGAGCGCACAGGCAGAGAGGAGGGGATGTTAGTATAAATAATAGTTTGCTGGTTGTTTTTGTCTGTATGAATTGTTGATGACAAAAATACACTTTCAATGTATTAAGACTGTCTGGTCATATGAAAGATAATAATCATATGATGATGTGCTTGTAAACTCTGTAAAAGATTAGTGTGTGGTATGTTAACCGGAATATATTCGGTCCGGTTTATTTCGGTTCATTCATGTGATTTTGGATACCCAATTTTGGAAAACGGTGCAGAGAAATCGCTGTACCAAGATTGATCTATCAATTTGTAATTGAACCGAACTTGATTTTAAAATGGATGATTCTTATTTCTCTAAAATCAAAAAATTTGAAATCGAATTGAATGGAAAAAACCGATTGTTTTTTAAAAAATTAATATTTTTATAAAAGAAATAAAGTAATTGAAATGACACCAATATTAAATCCGTTTATATGGGCCTGGCCCAAGTTTCATGGCCCGTGATTAAATAACAAAAAGAAAAAAACAAATAAGTGGAAAATTCAAGTAAATAAATAAAACTTCGTTGTGTCCCCTCTCCGGCAGATCCTTTCCGTCTGAATCATCTTCCGCAACCATGACGACATCCATGGGTCCTCCTCCGCCGCTGCGAAACCCTAAAAATGCTCCGGAGCCTGATCCCTTTTCCCAGAAAGAAGATTCTTCATCGGCCTCTATGGATCCTCCGCCTCCTAAAATCCCTAACCCTTCTAATTCCGAGGCAACGATGGAACAACCGGGAAATCAGGAAGCAGCCACCGATGATTCTATCGCTATAGACGAGAAAAAGTCGGTTATTGTTCAGGCTGTGAAGCAGTTCTCTGTTCCGTACTCTATCCCGGAGTGGAGTGGCCCCCCACGCCATCAATTTCAGCTTGAAGTCCTCAAGGAAGGTTCCATTGTCGGAAAATTTGACGTGTAAGCTCTCAGGAATCGTTCTTTTTTTTTTTGTACGTTTTAGTTATTTGGTCGCAGTAAGGTTGAATGAAGCGGATGAAAATGTAAAAAGCCGGAAACTTTTGTGAATTTGTTAACTGATTAGTTTAGATTCATTTTTGGGAATTAAATTTGAAGAATAACGGGTCTTATTCTTGCACGTTTTCATTTGACATTTGGTTCTTTACAGGAATGAGAAAGGAGCTTACATGTTTGGACGTGCAGATATCTGTGATTTTGTTCTTGAGCACCCCACCATTTCCCGGTTTCATGCGGGTTAGCGTTTTATGGTTTGTATCAGATTTCTTAATGTGTTGAAATTAGGTTAATGTCATCTTTAATGTTTTTGTTTTGCTTCAACAGTTATTCAGTACAAGAGAGGTGGAGATGCCTACTTATTTGATCTTGGTAGCGTTCATGGAACTTTTGTTAACAAGAATCAGGTATTGTGTTCGCATCTGAATATGTTCGTACTTGTGCTCTTGTTTTGATAGACCGCCATTGTTAAGATTGTTTTGTAATGGTGTGTTTGTGATTAATACAGGTGGACAAAAGGGTTTATGTGGACTTGCACGTCGGTGATGTTATTCGCTTTGGCGGGTGTGTTGTTGGTGTATTTGTCAAGATTCCTTGTGATATGTTGCTTTTATTTGATTCGATTTGATTTTTCTGAGCTTATGCTTTTATTTCTTGTGTAGTTCAACTCGGCTGTACATTTTCCAAGGACCATTTGAGTTAATGCCACCGGTAAGATCTAATTTCATTATCTTCTGATGACAATTTAGTTCCTGGTCTACAACTTTTTGTGGCCATTAGATGTCCTTAGGGTTGGTAGGGAATTGATCTTTCCATTGATTTTCCCTGGTTGAGCTCCAAGTTCCAAGCTTTCTGAATATCAGAAGAGAGTAATTTCGTATCTTTCCATGTATCACCAAAGTCTATCTCTTGGAAAATAACCCCTAATGTCAATTATTGGCTTGAACAATTCTGTCCTATTCCCTCTGTCAATGTAATTTCATATTCTTTCCATGTATCACCAACTTTTTGTTTTCTCAGGTTTAGATATGCTTCTCATAAGATTAGTATGAGAAATAAAATAACCGAGAAATCCTGGATTGTGTATTGCTCCGATTTGCTTTCGTGCTCTGCCCTCTTAGCGTCCAAATTCCAATCCATTTTTCCTAGTCACTGTGTCCATTCTAATTTCCCTTTTGCATTTTATTCCAGGAAAAAGACTTGAAGCTGATCAGAGAAGCGAAGTTCAAACAGCAGATGTATGATCGAGATGCTTCACTTCGTCGTGCAAGAGAACATGCATCCATGGCTGATGGTATCTCATGGGGCATGGGAGAGGATGCCATTGAAGAAGAAGAGGTTGCCTTTCAATTCGTTCATGGAGTTTATTGTTATCTGTTTAAGTTGTGAAACTTATAGCATCACTATTGCCAGGATTTGTGAATCAGTCAGTTGACCGACCCTTTTTCTTGGCATATAACTTATCTTTGGATGTTCAGGAGGATGTTGATGAAATTACTTGGCAAACATACAAAGGACAGCTTACACAGAAGCAGGAAAAGACAAAGGAGAAAGTTGTGAAGCGAATGGAGAAGGTAAGTTAATTTGTTGGTTCTATTATTTCGTTTTAAATGCCAGATCCAATCATATGATTCTTTGAGGCTTGTTAAATGACCTTCACATTTATATTTTGTTCTCTTATTCTCCTCATCTCTCATGGTCCAGTATCCTGTTTAGTTAATAAAGTATGGGTCTCCTTTCTATTTTTAGTAGCTCAAGCAGGTATATATTCTCGGCGAATCATCGCTATATAAGATGTTTTGCTTTAATGCAGATTTCCCACATGAAGAAGGAGATAGCTGCTATTCGGGCTAAAGATATCGCTCAGGGTGGATTGACGCAAGGACAACAAACACAGATCGCCAGGAATGAGCAGAGAATAGCTCAGGTAAGTAATCTTTCATCTCTATCTGAAGTGACAATCAATCCTGTACATCGTAGGTTCTTATTATCTTTCGCAAAATTCTATTCGACGGGCCCTACTCCATTTCGTCCTTGGCCTTTGATTGATCTGATTGATTTGCTATATCTTTAAAATGTTTGATAGCTTCTGGAAGAACTTGAAAACTTGGAGGAGACCTTGAATGACAGCATCCGGGAAAGTCTAGGTGCGAAAAGCGGGAAGAAAACCCATGGTAAGAAGAAAGGGACTCTAGAAGATGATGAAAACTTGTCAAGGTAATCTTTTTTATGTATCCTATTTTTTTTCCCTTGTGCCTCAGACAGATAGATGTTTTCAAGGCTCGACCTGTAAATTTGCATCTCTATGTACAGTGATAGAGCTTGTGTCTGGTTTGATATGTTCTAGTACTCACACATGATGGTTATTGTTCATCAGTGATGAAGATGAATTCTATGATCGGACAAAGAAGAAACCATCAGCACAGAAAGGCAGCGAAGGCCAGACTGTTGAAACTGTAGATTCTCTTCTTGATAAGAGAGATAATGTTATGAAAGCAATAGAAGAGAAGAAGGAACTTATTGTGGTGGAGAAAAATCGGATGGAGAAGGAGAAGACAGTTTCAGAGGCTGAACCCGGAGACTCGCTTGATGCCTACATGACTGGGCTTTCCTCACAGCTTGTTCAAGATACAACTGTTCGGCTTCAGCAAGAGCTATCTACTCTTCAATCAGAATTGGATAGGATCTTGTTCCTTTTAAAGATTGCTGACCCAACCGGAGAAGCAGTTAAGAAAAGGGACTTGAAGCCACAAGAACCAAAACCAAACAAATCTGAGAAGCCTATGAGAACTTCTCCTACAGAACAGAAGAACAGCGTTCCTACAAAACCAGTTGATGTCTCTGAGGATAAAGAAGAAGAGGTTGCTAATGTTTTAGTAGACTCTAAGAGTAAGCTTGACGTGGAGAAAAAGATAGAAGGTGAAACAGCCGAAGGTAAAACTGCTATGTATATCCCGAGGAAACACCAATGGCTCGGTGCAGTCCTTGACAGAGAAGCAAAGGAAGAGATCAAACATGAAATCGAAACTGTTAGCACAGATGGTGGAGGTGATGAGTTTGTTGACTATAAAGATCGAAACAAGATATTACCTGATGCTGAGGACAGGACTACGATGGGTTCGGGGGTTGAAAATACTGCAACGGGATTGATAATTAGGAAACGAAAGCAAGAAAACAAGGATGAAGAAGATGTGAAATCAGAGGAGAAGCAAGCGGAGCTCATGGCACAGGATGCTATTGCACTCTTACTGAAACATTCTGGAGGATATCAAGTGGAAGAAGATGAAACAGCGAACAGAAGTGAAGAAAAACAAGGAGGTCGCCGTGGTAAAAAGAAGAAGAAGGAGAAGAAGGAGAATAAAGTACTCGGACCCGAGAAACCTACGTTCCTCGATGACAACACCAGTTATGATTCATGGGTTCCGCCCGAAGGTAAGCAACATTTCAACACACTTCAAAATCCGTATTTTTTCCCATTATAGCACAATTGACAACACGGTATGCGATTCTGAACTATTTCGATGAAACTTGAATGTGCAGGACAATCCGGTGATGGGCGTACCTCTCTGAATGATCGGTTCGGATACTGATCACCTATGTTAAGAAGCTTTGGCAATGGCAACCACAGTTACAGAAGATCTACAGTTTAAAAATCACTTGTGGTTCTGAGTGGAAGGCATCAAATCTGCAGGAAAGTTGGAAAAAAAAAACGTTGTGGTTGCAGCCTAGCTCTGTGCCCGTGATATCTAAGAATGTGTCAAATGCTTCATCTCTCATCTGTTACTCGGAATATTCCTCGTCATACGGCTCTGAAACTGATTCTGGGACTGGCCGTATGAGCAGTTCCATCCCATACTAACTTTTTCACCTTATGTTTTTCATAGTAGCGTTCGAGAAGAACATGGAGGAAGGTTTAGTTTGGGATCCTTGGAAAAGTGTATGACTTTACGAAAAAAATATGTAAAAAGAGAACACCCAAAAAAAGGAGATTGATCCAAATTACATAAACGTGTTCTTGATTAGTGTGTTTTTTGTTTGGAGAGTTCTTCAGGCTTTCATCTACTTGGCAGTAGCAGTTGGCTTGAAACAATCGATATTGCATAACCCTACCGATCTAAACATCCCACCAAACCTGTCACAGGAAAAAAGATCAAACGCCCTGAAATAAATTCCAGATTTCAATTCAAAAGAATTCACCAGATGGGTTTGCTTTCCTCTGTTCAAAAACACTAACTTTGGCTCAAGACAAGAACATAAAGCTCGATAATGACCGTTACCTGTCGATGCTATTCCTTGCCTTCTCCGGCTGCTGCTGCTGCTGCTGCTGCTGTTCCGTAGGATTACCCGTTTTCTCGCCCCGGTCTACGCTCTT